AGATTTTTTCCTTCTGTTGTCATACCGACTTCATCAGTCACTGGTTTTTGTTCAGTGAGGAGAAGGAATACGGACCCTACGATATTAGTATGGGAAGAATAGGGCCTCGATGCCTTAACTTGCAAAGCAAGGAAAGCTGTATGTTTTGCTAAGGACCCCCTCACGCAGAGTTCATGTTGCGTGAAGAGAGACACATGCTATACAGATCACAGCTGAGGAACTGCCTGAAAGACCAGTACATTACTGATGACCTCACATATCAGTAGCAAAGGTTTTCACTGGTTCACACACATAGGTGTGAAAAATGCAAACCAACTCCAGGTCCACTGAGCATCCAGACCTTGCTAAGGGTTTTTTTTTCTTCTGCTGGGTTTGGTGGGAGTTTTGTTTAGTTTTGGGTTTGTTGTTTGTTTTTTTTTAACTGGCTGATACGCTAACCTGGAGCAGTTGTCTGCCAAATGCCCTTATTTCATGGCTACTGCATTTGTCAGGGCAAAATGTTGACGTAACAGTTAGAGACAACACGTGTTGTTGCAGAGCTGTTTCAAACATCAGGAATGGTGAGTTTTATTATTATTGTCCCATCCTGATCTTCTGTTCTTCAAGGAAAACAGTAATTTCAATTAGCAGTCAGACTGTTCCTTCCATGGATTAAACCTGTATCACTCTGACAGAGGAAGAGAGTGCTCCAATATCCATCAGCAACAGGTCTAGCTTGAAGTGTTTTGTATTCCTGTTCTTGAGCATGAGTATTGTTAAAATACAAACTGTGTGCTTTGAAGAGTTGTGTAGTTGCTGGTGTGTGTAAGTAAAGCTGACCGGCTGTAGCCTTCTAAGAGGAGGGAGCCATGGCTGCCGTTAGGGCTGGTGACACACGCAGAGCACAAGCCCTCTAGCTTACTTCCTTTAACTTTCATTTTTTTGTAAAGCACAGATACAATGTATTTTGTCCCAGCTTTAGGATCTGGCGACATGTGAATAAAAACATCAGTCATACAGAGAGATGGTAAGAAGAATGAACCATTACTTTTAAAAACGTAGCTAGAGATGTAAGCTGTGTCTGGATGTGTGATATGGAATTACCTCATCGTGTTCGTGCTTTTGTAAGAACTAAAAAAGCCCTATTTAACTCAAGAAAATTTCTACTCTGTTACTAACAGTGTGAGGGTAAAAAAAGAGAATACAAACATACCACACATCTCCATTACTATACGTATGTTTAATCCTTTTGTTATAATTGAACAAAAAGCTAAAGCAGGTACAAGAAGTAAAGAGATGTGGTTCCCATTAAAGCTGGTCTTGAACTCGGTGGGCTGAGTGTAGGTGTAGTACTGCTGGTTAGGAGCCACATGCTCAAAGCCAGCTCTGCCTTAACCCTTTCTGATGGGGCTCAGTTGCATGCAGTTGGTTGCACAGGTCAGTCAGAGGGGATCTAGTCCTCTCAGAAGAAAACAATTACTAAAATTCATGACCTACATATAGACTTCTGGTCTTGGGACACTGGTAGTGCATTACTTCAGGAAGCAACTGAAAAAAGTTAAATATGAACACATAGGAGGTCTGTGAATTGGTTTATGTAATTTGCTTAGTTAAACAGATATAAAACTTGGACCACTGTGATAGCTGTGAGTTGTGCTGTTGATCAGGAGCAGCATGGCCAGCAGATCGAGGGAGGGGATTCCCCCCTCTACTCTGCTCTTGTGAGTCCCCACCTGGAGTTCTGCATCCAGCTCTGGGGCCCTCAGCATCCGAAGGATATAGACCAGTTGGAGCGAGTCCAGAGGAGGCCACGAAGATGCTCCGAGGGCTGGAGCCCCTCTGCCATGGGGACAGGCTGAGAGAGTTGGGGGTGTTCAGCCTGGAGAAGAGAAGGCTCCGGGCAGACCTTATAGCCCCTGCCAGTGCCTGAAGGGGCTACAAGCAAGCTGGGGGGGACTTTTTACAAGGGCCTGTAGTGACAGGACAAGGGGTAACGGGTTTAAATTGAAAGTGGGGAGGTTTAGACTGGCTATCAGGAAGAAGTTCTTCCCAGAGAGGATGGGGAGGCACTGGGACAGGTTGCCCAGAGAAGCTGTGGATGCCCCATCCCTGGAAGTGTTCAAGGCCAGGCTGGATGAGGCTTGGAGCAACCTGGTCTAGTGGAAGGTGTCCCTGCCCATGGCAGGGGGTTGGAACTGGATGATCTTTAAGGTCCCTTCCAACCCAAACCATTCCATGATTCTGTGATTCTATGATCTCAGCAAAAGGTCACGTATTGTGTGGTAAGGTTTTGGTAGCTGAGGGGCTACAGGGGTGGCTTCTGTGAGAAGCTGCTAGAAGGTTCCCCTACGTCTGAAAGAGCCAATGCCAGCTGGCTCCACAACAGACCTGCCAAGGCTGAGCCAATCCGCAACAGTAGTAGTGCCTCTGGATAACATGTTTAAAAAAGGGAAAAAAAAACCCTAAACTGAGCCAATGCCAGCTGGCTCCAAAATGGAACTGCTGGCCAAGGCTGAGCCCATCAGCAACAGACATAACACCTCTGTGGTAACATGCTTAAGAAGTGGGGGAAAAACTGTGCAACTGCAGCAGCAAAGAGGAGCGAGAATATGTGAAAGAAAAACTCTGCAGACACCCAGGTCAGTGAACAAGGAGGGAGGAGGTGCTCCAGGCACCAGAGCAGGGATTCCCCAGCAGTCCATGGTGAAGCCCACAGTGAGGCCAGCTGTGCCCTGCAGCCATGGAGGGTCACGGTGGAGCAGAGATCCCCCTGCAGCCCACAGAAGACCCCACGCTGGAGCAGGGGGATGCCAGGAGGCTGTGACCCCGTGGCCAGCTCAGGCTGGAGCAGGCTGCTCCTGAAGGATGGCACCCCATGGTGGGGGGCCCACGCTGGAGCAGTTCATCCAGAACTGCAGCCCGTGGGAAGGACTCACGTTGGAGAAGTTGGTGGAGGCGTCTCCTGTGGGAGGGACCCCAGGCTGGAGCAGGGGCAGAGTGTGAGGATCCTCCCCTGAGGAGGAAGGAGCGGCAGAGACACCATGTGATGGACTGACCCCAACCCCCATTGCCTGTCCCCCTGCACTGATGAGGGGGAGGAGGGAGAGAAATAGGGAGCAAAGCTGAGCCCAGGAAGAAGGGAGGGGTGGGAGGAAGATGTTTTTAAGATCTGGTTTTATTTTTCATTATCCTACTCTGATCTGATTGGTAATAAACTAACTCCCAAGTCAAAGCTGGTTTTGCCGATGACAGTAATCAGTGAGCAATCTCTCCCCATCCTTATCTCAACCCATGAGCCTTTCATTGTAGTTTCTCTCCCCTCCCCAGCTGAGTAGGGCAGTGACAGAGCAGCTTGGTGGGCACCTGGTCCCCAGCCAGGGCCAACCCTCCACAGGTCATTAGAAGACATTTGTCATTGAAGACACATGCAGTCGAGCCTCTCTGCCAGTGTAAACTGGCCAGAACAAAAGGCAGCAAAGAAGAGGTGCTGCTATATTACTTGGGCATCACCAGCAATGTGCTTCTCACTTATCAGGAATAAAATGTAAAAACATTCTTAAAAATGAGATAAAGACAAATAGACAATTTTTTGGACTCCTAAAACCTATTAAGAGAAGCACGTACTAATTCTGGAGGCCTTTGCGAGTCAGGGAGGCTGCTTTTTCTTTCACACTTGATGAGGCAGCATGAAGAACAACTTCTTGTAATGGGACTTACAAAGATGGGAAGCCTACACGGGGCTTGACAGTTCATGATCAGTGCAGTCTTGGCTTGCAAGTAGAGGCCCAGTGCAGAGAAGGATGCCATCTCACCATCTCACTCAGTGGTGTTAACAAACTGAACTGCCTGAAGGTTTAATGACCAGTGTCAGGATATTCTACCACAGAGAAGGGAGCAGATGATGTAGAAAGCTGTGTGAGTATCCCTGGAAAAGCAGTCATCTTGGCCTGCCGCTGCTGAAGGAATGAGAGGGTCTATGGCTATGGCACAGATGTCAGTCCCTCACTCCAAAGGTGTCTAAGCAGTGATTCTGGGTGAAGTCTTCTGGGCTAATACTCAAAGACAGATGTCTGTGCTGTTGGAGGGTGAGGCTTTCAAATTCTGGCAGTGTGAGTCGGGGCACTGAAATCAACCTCCAAGTTTAATGCTTACAGTACAGTCTACCTTTATACTCCAAAGGGAGAAATGAGCAACTGAGTTTTTTCAGGCTACTGTAGCTTCATTAATGCTAAGAAAGATCTACTGAGATTCTTGGTCTGTCAGCAAAGGCATTAGTTTCTGATCTCAGCTATTCACAGATAGATGTGACTTCAAAATAATATACTTCCTTATTAATGTCCTGGTCTTCTAAATTCAGTGGTTTAGGAACATAAACCCTATTAACTTCATCATCAGAACTGGATTAATATTCATTAATCATCAGTGAGGCTCCTATATCTGACCCTTTTGTCACTTTGAAAATCTCTCTTGGAGTACTGCGATTTAATTTGATGTAACAAAATGTGTTTTTGTTGATAACTTAATGGCTTCCATTTAACAAATGTCCAATCTTGGCTGCTATTAGTCCAGAACAGAGTGTGCTCTCTTGTGACACAAACTGTCTAAGACCACTAAAGAAGTGTGGAATAAAGCCTGAATTAGGTTAGCATGTGGAAGCTCTAAATCCCCTACCTGTTGATATTTTTTTCAGACAAACATCCTTCCCACAAAGGACTGAAGGCAGGTATAAAAATATGCTCTGTAGACATGTACTTTGCTAAAGTTTCCTTTCCTAAGTAATAGATCCCTTTAATGTCTTCTGCAAATCATGCTGAATAAAAAAGGTGCTGAATGAAAAAGGTAATTTCCTTTGCAACTACAAAAATCATTTCCCAATGGCATTTTGCAAGCATTCATCTAACTGGGATGCTCTTTATCTTTCTTCCTTTTAAAATGTCAAACAGACAAAAGTCTTCTAAATAGCATTCTTTCCTATTTTGATTAATTTTGCATAGTGTTTTCCCAGAAGTATTGATACTTACATAAACCTGAGTTCTGATTCTCTTCTGACTAAGACTTCCCGAAGTCTTTGGATCTTTGCCATCTCAAGCTCAATTTCCTCAGGCATCATTGTTGTTTCAGCCATTGAAATGATGTCAAGTTGATCTGCGTGTGAAAGCAGAAAAAACGGATTAAGCTAGTCAAAGGGTCTTAATGGGGTTTTTTAGGAATATAAATTTAATCACAGAGCTATCTGACTATGGGGTAATTAATGGGAGTAGTAAAGAACATGCTAGCTGAATACTACAGTGACTGGGTTCTCTATTGTTTTGCTTATTACTTGCAATGTAACCGTTTTGAAGTGAAAGAATCCCTAAGCCAAAACGACATTCATTTTGTTAGTCAGAATCTATCACACCTCTAAGGAATCCCAACCCAGTACGTAACTATACCTACTGCTCCTTAAGTGACATACTACCAACTTGGAAAGAACAGCCACAGACTGCTAGGAAACTCACTCAAAGCAGTTACTTGCTACTCTCAAGAGGCCCATCTTGGCGCAAGTGCAGGCAATGTAAACTGATGAAGGCTTCTCACCTTCACATAACATTTCATGCCATTCCACCATCTCAGCCTGACTAACAGCGAAAGCCCAGACCCACTAGAGAGGAGCCAAGGATGCGATTAGAAGCGATGTAGGGCCTAATCCTTTGAGGCGCTGAGTGTTTCTCACTAGAGCACTGAAATCAGTTGAGGAGACAAACAGCACTTTGTAATAATTACTTGGCAACTGGTAAGACCAGGGTCCTTCTGTGATTATTTCTCTGTAATTGAAGTATTACCTAATCTAATCCAGACAGAAACAGGGCTATGAACTGTGTTCATTGAAGGTAGAAGGAACCAATTTATAGAAGGTGGTTTTGGGAAGGAGCAACTTGGCCTCTGGAAAACCTTATTCCAAGTGTTCACCATAGTTGGCCTTCATTTTGAATAAGAACTTAGAGACTAAAAAATAGAATGCCTACGTGATTTGTTACCCAAATGGAGACATATTCTTGACAGCCGACCTGTTTTGTTTTAAAAACAGAAAACAGAGAGGTCAAAATGTACTCAGCACAATTATGCAGAAAACAGGAGACAAAAAGCATTAGGAAAAAAAGCTGTTTGATTAATTAAGAGGAAACAAATTCCAACATCCCCCATGACAGACTAAGCACAAACGGCTGAGAAGAATTTCTGACAGAAACTTGGAGCAG